ACATGCAAACTCCACACAGAATTGCCAACTGAACCAGCCGAGGCTCGAACCAGCGACCTTCTTGCTGTGAGGCGACTGCGTCACTGCGTCGCCCCTATAATTTATCTATACAAGCATATTTAATTTTAATAATTATATAAATTATGTATATATATATATATATATATATATATATATATACATATACATTATATATACACATTATATATACATTATATATAAATTCAGTGCAATTTTAGACCAATTTAACACATAAAAAACTAAATTCTAAATATTACTTAATATTTTGCAAGTGAGGAAGTTGTTTGTTTAAGATTCTTAAGCTGAATAAAAAAAGAACAGATTTATTAGAATATTTTTCCTAACATCATGAATAAAGCTCTGTCACTTTTGATCAATTTAATATATATAATGTGCACATTCTGTTCTAGTGCACATACTATTGGTGCCTCCTTCCAATAATATAGTTTTTTGTTTTGTTTTTGTTTTTGGATCCAAGACCAGCAACGAGATGATCCCAAGGTTTCCATATCCGGGACCAGGCCATATCCTGAGCTGCGGCTGCGCTGATGGTCATGGGAATTGGAGAACATGAGACTGATTCCAGCGACGCTCCAGGGACATACGAGTCTTCGCTGAGGCCATCTTCCAGCCCACCGCGGTGACTGAAGCTCTGCACAAGACTTTTGGCCAGCGGAGAAATTAAAATGGCCGTGCCGAACTGAGTCTGGTTCTCTCAAGGATTTTCTTCTTCACTCTCATCAGGTGAAGTTTTTTTTTCCCTCTCCGCTGTCGCCACTGGCTCGCATGGTTAAGGATTGGTTGAGCTACGCATAGATGAATTTGCTCTTCAGTGTTTGAACTCTCAGTAATGATTAAATCACACTGATCTGAGCTAAACTGAACTGAACTTAAACACTAAAAACTGAACTACACTGTTCCAGTTACTATGACCATTTATGTGAAGCTGCTTTGACACAATCTACATTGTAAAAGCGCTATACAAATGAAGCTGAATTGAATTGAATTGTTTTTAAAGGCATACGTTACAGTTGACAAAGACTGCAAACAGAAATATTGTGAAATATTACATTACAATTAATAACAGTTGTATATTTTACTATTGTAAAGCTGAATTTTCAGTATTGTTACTCCAGATTCACATGATGCTTCAGAAACCAACATAATGTTTTCAATATAATGAATGGTAAATGTTAAGAGTTTGTTCAGGACACTTATGTGAAATAAAAATAACAGAATTTATTAGTAACATAAATTTAAAAAATTTAAATCTTACTGATCACTAAGCCTAGTGCACATTGTATTTGTGCCTCCTACTAATAATATAACATGCATTTCTGAAAATCACTCTATAAAATGCTCTTTTCTGACGTCTAGTGGTTAACAGAAGAACTGCAACCTATTTTCCCACTAACCCAGTGTCGGTGGTGTCTGCAGAGCTGGGTTCGCTGTGTTCAGGTGTGTCCAGCAGCAAGGAAACAGTGCGAGTTGGAGGATTGTACGCCGTGATGAGAGGCAAAGAGGCTCGTCGTATTGGAGGTGGACTGTACATCGGAGGCGGCATGTACTCCAAAAATCCTCCTTGAGACAAACATGGAGCCACATTAACACAAGCTGAACCTGATGTGCACAGAAGATTGCATTTACACAAAAACTGAATGCATGCATGCATTTCCCTGCATTTTCCACTCAAATCATTTAACTGCATGTAGTTAAGTCCTATTGTACAGTTTGACTAAACGGGTTAATCCCTAAATGGATAATTGAATTAAAGAGCTTAATTAAATGGTTTAGAGGTACCTGGTGGACTGGTGCAGCTAGTCCGGATGGTGCTGTAGGGGGGAAGTGTGTTTCCAGGCTTGGGATTTTGAGATGTTACAGGAGGAGCTGTGAAAATTGATGGTCTGCACATGCACAAATTTATTATACAAGTGATTGAAAGCATTTAAATTACACCATATGTTTGCTGCATTGCATCGGCAGCTATGCTATACCACTGTTTTGTTGCAAATTTTATTACTTTGCATTAAAAAAACTCAAGATGTGCAGAATTTTTTTTTAGCCAATCCCAATATATATATGAATTTTGTTAATTTTTCAAAATGATTAGCCCCTTTAAGCTTTTTTTTTTCGATAGTCTACAGAACAAACCATCGATATACAATAACTTAACCTAATTACCCTAGCCTGCCAAGTTAACCTAATTAACCTAGTTAAGCCTTTATATGTCACTTTAAGCTGTATAGAAGTGTCTTAAAAAATATCTAGTTAAATATTATTTACTGTCATCATGGCAGAAATAAAATAAATCATTTATTAGAGATGAGTTATTAAAACTATTATGATTAGAAACGTGTTGAAAAAAAATCTCTCTGTTAAACAGAAATTGGGGAAAAAATAAACTGGGAGGCTAATAATTCAGAGGGGCTAATAAGTCTGACTTCAACTGTATATATATATATTAGCCAATGCAATTAAGCATGAAATAAAATAGAAACATAGTTACTGATTAAATCCAGATGCACAAAAAAGTTTTTTGTGCAACAGTCAATAAAACTGGATAACTGACCTAAACAGAAGATTTGTTTCATTTCACACTATTCTAGTGTTGGTTTGATCATTCTGAAATGAATAATCCAAAGCATGTCATCAAATGTATTTGGTTTCATTAATCAGAATTAGATTTTTTAGGCATCTGAATGCAAGATAACATGACAGTGATTATTGCTTTAATGCTGTGTACTTTTAAAGTCATTTGTGAAATATATAAAAAGCCACAGTTTATCTGCAACTTCCATTTCCATTACAGAGGTATTGTGATAGTTTTGAGATTTAGAGACTTTTTTGTTTTCTTATGCACAAGAAATGGAATAGTGCTTTAGTCATAAATGTTATACACTACCTGACAAAAGTCTTGTCTTCGGTCCCAGTTGAAGGAGCAACAAATAATATGTTGATTTCTATGTTTATCATTTGGAAAAGTGGCAGAAGGTCGATTTTTCTCATGAATCATCTGTTGAACTGCATCCCAATCATCACAAATACTGCAGAAGACCTACTGGAGCCCACATTGAGCCAAGATTCTCACAAAAATCTGTCAATTTCGGTGAAGGAAAAATCATGGTTTGGGGTTACATTCAGTATGGGGGCGTGTGAGAGATCTGCAGAGTGGATGGCAACATCAACAGCCTGAGGTATCAAGACATTTGTGCTGCCCATTACATTACAAACCACAGGAGAGGGCAAATTCTCCAGCAGGATAGCGCTCCTTCTCATACTTCAGTCTCTACATCAAAGTTCCTGAAAGCAAAGAAGATCAAGGTGCTCCAGAATTGGCCAGCCCAGTCACCAGACATGAACATTATTGTGCATGTCTGGGGTAAGATAGAGGAGGCGCTGAAGATGAATCCAAAGAATCTTGATGAGCTCTGGGAGTCCTGCAGGAACGCTTTCTTTGCCGTTCCAGATGACTTTATTAATCAGTGATTTGAGTCATTGCAGAGATGTATGGATGCAGTCCTCCAAGCTCATGATGGAGTCAGACACAATATTCATTCTGTTTCCACTGCAGCATGACTTTATATTCTATACTGGACATTATTTCTGTTCAGTGACGAGATTTCTGTCTTAGCAAAGTCAGACCTTACTGTCCTAATTAAATCATTAAAAATCAAGGCATGATCATATTTTATTTTGGTGAAATAAGCGTATTCTAGAGGCCTTTGCCTTTCATATAAGCCACTTCTTATACCAAATGATCAACTAGAAGTCAAGTTATTATTAGTTGTTCCTAAAACTTAAGCGACAAGACTTTCATCAGGTAGTGTATGCAATAAGTACAGCTACCGTCACTGACCTGTTGACCTGGACACATGGCTGACCACGACTAGCAGGAGGCTTTTTCAACGTGGCTTTTGTTGTTTTTCTCCATTTGGCTCGACGGTTCTGAAACCACACCTAATGCAAGAGCACAATTATTGACATTTGAATGCATTTATTTATTTATTTTAATGACCGATTAATGTGACAAGAAGCTTGAGATCTTAAGGAATAGATGCATGTTGGCAATGACCATGATCCTCTGGGGTGTAACACCAATGGCGGCTGCAATCTCCTTTCTTTTGTCTCCATCAGGGTAGTGATCATCCTGAAACACACGTTCCAGCTCCTCTAACTGATCTACACAAACATGAATACACACAAACACATATATATTATATACAGATGAAGTCAAAATTATTCGCCCTCCTGTGAATTTTTTTGGAATGTGAATGTTTGAAAGAGCAAGGAATTTTTCACAGTATTTTCTATAATATTTTTTCTTCTGGAGAAAGTCTTAAATTGGTTATTAAACTTCATGCATGCAAGTAAATTCTGACTAAATTCAGATTTTTAGATGAACTTTCAGTTTAATAAGTGCTTTCTCTCACCTGTGCTGTAGAAGGTGCGTGTTTTCTTTTTGGGAGGCATCAGAGGAGCATCAGTGCAGATGGAGGATAAAGCCTGAGAGCTGGTCTCCCCGCTGATGGTGCTCAGAGGCATTAGTGGGGCAGCTCGGCTGGAGAATCGTGTGTATCGGCGAGTGGTGTAAACCTGCTGCAGCGTCACCTCCAGCGGCCTCGTGGACACCAGGGCTGGAGGATCCACTGCAGGGCTGCTTCCAGAGCAAGGTACATTTAGTAAATAAAAATGAAGAATAAAACTATTGGTCAATAAACATTTTCCTTGACCCTTGTGTATTGTTCAAGTAGACTAGCCTTTCGTTATATTGGTGGCTGTTTTTGCCACATTGACTTCCATTATAATGACATGTTTTGATAACAAAGCCATGACACCATATAATCATTTATTCTTGATTGTTAATGGGTTCCCGTGTTGGGAAGAGGTACAATTTTTACTGTTGATCATCGGTTGACAGCATTAACCTTTTAGATAGGTCTGTGCAAAAAAGGTTTCTTGCTTTTCTATGGTGTATATACACACGAGTATAAAAAAAGTTATAAATAAAAAAACTATATATATTTGCAAAATGTTTTATAGCATTGCTTTTCCAGACAATTGCAATGCTTATTTTGCTTTTTAGTCAACTGTGAGTTTGCGATGCTGTTTTCTTGTCACACTTGACGTTTCTGTGCAATTTACTTTGTGGCCCTGATTTGACAAGGGGGCGAAGTCAAGTCAAGTTCCAAAATCGCAAACTTACGGTTGACTATAAACCAAATCAAAATGAGCATTGCAATTGACTGGGAAGGCAATGCAATAAAAAATGTTTTGCACATATATATATATATATATAGCTTTTTTATTGCAAATATTTTAGTTTTTTTTTTTTTGCACTGCTTGATTTTTATTTGCAGTTCTTTTTTTGTTTGCAAATTTTATTTCTATTTCTCAAAAGTTATTTTTCCCTTTGCAGTTTTTTTATTTTTGTTAGCAATTTTTTTTTCTCAAAACTAATTTACATTTTGCGATTATTGTAGATTTGCATTTATTTATTTATTTTTTGCTCAATACTTTGTTTTGTTTGCAAATCTTTCTTTTTTCCAAGTATATGTGGCCCTAGATTGACTCCATTATAAACTAGCTATGTCTAACTACATACAGTGCACAGTATAAATGAGCACACACCCTTTTAAAAATGGCAGAATATTTTAATGCATTTAAACAAAACATTACTAAAATATTTAACTACTAATTACTATTTTATCCATTAAAATAAATGTTTGTGCTCCTAACTTCTTTAGGAATAGAAAGATAATACTTTAAATCAAATAAGTTATTGCAAAAAATATATATAAAATAAAATCTACAAAATGATTTTTTCTTGATTTTCTTCTGATTATTAAAAATTGATTTAATTATTTTCCCCAAAATATGAGTTTAGGTGTACTAATTTTTATACTGCGATCTTAAATTGTTTAGTTAAATTCGTTTTAGTTTTGTCTTTGATACTAATCTAAAGTGTAAACACAAATAAATTATTGTAAAGCACCCTATAGAAAATATTAATTTAAAAAAAGAGATCTTTGAGCAAATGTCAGCTGTACAAACACTAAACTTTGCTTTAGGACACTGGACATGTTGTGTTAACTTTGATAAACTAGAATTGCAAGAAATAAATCTATAAAAACTGAATAGAAATGTCTTCACAAATTCAATAACTGAACTAAATGACACAAAACCATTAAATGATACAAACTAAAATGACAGAAAATAGTATCAAAATTAAACCTAATTTTAAAAAGCAAAACTAAAATAACCTTGTTCCATAGGGCTGTTTGCCTAAGCACGGGGCCTCCAGCGGGGCCTGTGGCGGGACCTGCGGCTGAAGCAGAGCTGGAGGCTGAAAGGGCAGCATTGTGGGATTTTGAGGTGGTAATGTGATCGACAGCGGTCTGGGTGGGGATTTTATCAGGGGCTGCTGGGGGAGATCTGAAGATTTGGGATGGCATAACAAAAGGTCGTCATTCATGCATCTCTCTACCGACTGATCATACACCATCACCAGGTCTATGGTACAGTCGGGGCCCATATGCAAAATACAGTCGTCTTCTAGAGGAGGAACCAGCAACTCATTCAATTTGTCATCATCATCATCATCGTTTACTGTCTTTTTCTGATCATCTTTGAAATCTAGAAGACATTCCTGTGCATCTTTGGTACTCTTTTCGCTAGTTTCAACAGTATCGGCCATCTTGTTTTGATCTTCAGTGCTCTTCTCATTTTTTGTTTCAGTTTTACTTTCATCCTCTTTATTCTCTTCTTCTGGGTTTTGAGCTTCTGTACAGTTCTCCATCTGAGCGTCTTTCTTGAGCTCGTCCTCTTCGACTCTACTGTGTATTTCTGTATATTTTTCTTGCTCGCTGTGTCTGTATCTGCAGTATCCTCTCTGCTCATCCTCCTCACACATGGGACACGGGCCATCTGGAAAATGATAAGAATTGTCTCTTCAGTGAAAGAGAATAGTGAGAATAGTTCACCCATAAACGTAAAGGATATCATCTCCAGGCGGTTCATTCCGCTGTGGCGACCCCGGATTAATAAAGGGACTAAGCCGACAAGAAAATGAATGAATGAATGATATCATCTCCACACGTTCTAAACCTGTTTTGTTTTTCTTCTGATGAACACAAAAGAAGATATTTTGAAAAATGTTGGAAAATGGGAGGAATAGACTTCCATGGTATTTCTCAGAATATCTTCTTGTGTTCATCAGAAATTTCAACGCTATTCAAGAATTAAACAAAATAAACAAACATATATCATCTCCTTTGTCTTTTTTTTTGTTGAGCACAAAAGAAGATACTTTGAAAAATGTTGGAAACGAGAAGGAATTGACTTCTTTGTTATTTGTTTTTCCCACTGGAGATGTCAATGGCTGCCAGTTAGTTGCCAACATTTCTCAGAATATCTTCTGTGTTGATCAGAAAAAGAAACGGTTTAAAATTCAAAGAAAAAACATGTTTAAATTCAATACTATTCAAGAAATAAACAAAAAAATGAAAAGATATCATCTTAACACTTCAAGAATTAAACAAAATAAGCAAAAATATATTCTCTCCTTTGTCTTTCTTCTGTTGAACACAAAAAAAGATACTTTGAAAAATGTTGGTAACTAGAAGAAATTGACTTCCATGTTATTCCTACTATAGACGTCAATGGCTTTCAGTTAGTTTCAATCATTTCTCAAAATATCTTCTTGTGTGTTCATCAGAAAAAATAAACTGTTTAGCATTTAAAGAAAAAACATGTTTAGATTCAACACTATTCAAGAAATAAACAAAATATACAAAATGACATCCTCTCCTTTGTCTTTCTTCTGTTGAACACAAAAGAAGATACTTTGAAAAATGTTGGAAACTAGAAGCAATTGACTTCCATGTTATTTGTTTTTCCTACTATGGATGTCAATGGCTGCCAGTTAGTTCCCAACATTTCTCAGATTATCTTCTTGTGTGTTCATCAGAAAAAGAAATGATTTAAAATTCAAAGAAAAAAACATGGTTAGATACAATACTATTCAAGAAATAAACGAAAAAAAAATGAAAATATCATCTCCTTTGTCTTTCCTCTGTTAAACACATAAGGAGATACTTTGAAAAAATGTTGGAAACTAGAAGGAATTGACATTTATGTTATTCCTACTATAGATATCAATGGCTTTCAGTTAGTTTCAAACATTTCTCAGAATATCTTCTTGTTCATCAGAAAAAAATCAACTGTTTAACATTTAATGAAAATACATGTTTAGATTCAACACTATTCAAAAAATAAATAAATAAACAAAATGACATCCTTTCTTTTGTCTTTTTTCTGTGGAAGACAAAAGAAGATATTTTGAAAAATGTTGGAAACTAGGAGGAATTGACTTTCATGGTATTTGGTTTTCCTACTGGAGATGTCAATGGCTGCCAGTCAGTTCTCAACATTTCTCAGATTATCTTGTGTGTTCATCAGAAAAAGAAATTATTTAAAATTCAAAGAAAAACATGTTTAGATTCAATACTATATCTATCTATATATCTATATATATATGTGTGTGTGTGTGTGTGTGTGTGTGTGTGTGTGTGTGTGTGTGTATATATATATATATATATATATATGCTCTCCTTTGTCTTTTTTTCCTGTTGAACAAAAAAAAAAGATACTTTGAAAAATGTTGGAAACTAGAAGGAATCGACTTCCATGTTATTTGTTATTCCTACTATAGATGTCAATGGCCAGTTAGTTTCAATAATTTATCAGAATATCTTCTTGTGTGTTCATCAGAAAAACAGTTTTAACATTTAAAGAAAAAAACATGTTTAGATTAAAAAATATACAAGAAATAAACAAAATAAACAAAATGACATCCTCTCCTTTGTGTTTCTTTTGTTGAACACAAAAGAAGATACTTTGAAAAATGCTGGAAACTGGAAGGAATTGACCTCCATGGTATTTGTTTTTCCTACTTTGGATGTCAATAGCTGCCAGTTAGTTCCCAACATTTCTTAGAATACCTCTTTGTGTGTTCATCAGATGAAAGAAATAGTTTAAAATGTAAAATGCTGTAGCGTTTGGGATAATCTGAAGAGGCTTACAGGTGAAGGAAAGTTGTGCAGTTGTACCTCAGCGAGTGAATTTTCATTTTGGGTGAACTTTCTGTTTTGAGTTAATGTTTTGTCACTGCTACATGAAAAGTTTAACTTATTGTTTCATAGCTATTAACATACTATACGCAATATTTTGCGGTCATTTTGTTTTCCCGCAAAAATAGTCACTAGAAAATAAGTCTGAACGCTTTTGCAACCTAGGAATATGGGGAAGGCCTCATTTCTTAGCTTTCATGTAAACTGTATACACACTAGCAATACAAAAAAATAAAAATAGTTCAACAAACATTCCTAATAAAGCCTCTTGGGTTACACAAAATTGACTGACTTATTTATCTACTCATGTCAATTTTAACCTGTCTGAATGGAGTTCTTCAGTCAAAGAAAGGGGCAAAAATAAATAAACAACACCTAAACATTTTTAAAACGTTTTTTTTTTTTTTTTTTTTTTTTTTTGCTCCACAAAAGAAGGCCATAGATGTTTAAAAATAGGCAAATATATGACTACAGAAAGTAAATTCTTCGATGTGACACCCCTTTAACTTATCAACAAACGCCTCACAAACACATTTTGACCATTCTAGTTTTGAATTTACTTCAGAAATCTCTCTCCTACTACAGAAATAGACGTGTATGTGTTGGGGAAACGATTAAAATGTTGCTGTCAGATATGTATCACTAACAAACATTACTTTAGGGTCAGGTATTTAACGTAACTCTTTCTCCACGTGTGTATTTATCCCTAATTAGAGAATTGACCCTCCGCCCTGTGTATCAAACCATCCGTTTGGAAACGAGACCAATTAGACAATTATCCTTGCCAAAAACAATGAATCAATCAGCTAATTTACATCAAATGACCCACCGTAATCACCGGCACACAAGCCATCTTCGGCCATGATGCTGCCCAGGGTAAATGGCTCTTTCTGTAAACTAGATAAATTACTTGAAAACTGTCTGAGCTTGAGTGAAGCGCAAACTCGAGCTGGAGTATTGATTGATAACCTGCAGATGAGGATCAGGTTACATCACGTGACGCCACGTTACAAGCACGCGCGCGGTTCCGTCAAGTTCAAAGCTGCTGTTGCATTCATTTCAGTAACATTTAGGAACATGAAGAATAGGCCTACATCGTAATCTGTGATAGAATTGTTGTATTTTCACCACGGTTTTTAGATTAAATTCAATAGAAAAATATACCGAGAAATTGTATCCCTTATTCTATTGGCTGTATTAAACACCATTTTATTATATATATATATATATATATATATATATATATATGAAAATTAACAACAGCAACTACTAAATTTAATTATGCATCTGTTTTTCTATGTTAAAAGAGTAATTTTACAGAACAGACTTTAGTTTTAGAGCACAAATTGTTTGCTTTGTAAGTTTATTACAAGGGAT